TCATCTCAGGCCCTATTCATAGACGAAGCCTCCTGCAACCCTTACCCTAAGGCGTTAAGGACTCATATTGTAAGGCTTTTGGGCCCAGAGACCATACTATATAAGGCTTTTGGGCTATTTTCGGAGCCTTAGGGTTTTAGGGTAATGCTTCAAGCAAGTCCCTGCACCCAGCCCAGGGCCATGAATCATAGCAATAGGGGGCCTAAATGATTACCTATATATTTGCTTTGGGGGGTTTCTAATTATAATTATAGTATAAGATCAGATTTCCTTATCATAAATAGTTATCGTATAATACACCCCCCAAAAAAAACTGTCAGACCCCTTCAAGGAACCCTTTAAAGGAAGCCCCAACACCCCCTTCTAATCATTATATAAGGCCCCTCCCCTAAACCCTAAACCCTAAACCCTTCATTAGACAACAGGGGCTCTTCTACGCGCTCTTGGACGCCGACGGAAGTGCGCCGCGCCCGAACTACAGCGCGCGTTTCAGCTTCCCGAGCTAGCCAGGACCCCCAAGTACCCTTTAAAAGGCTCCGGTGTTTCAGGGTTTAGGGTTTAGGGTTTATTTGGGTTGCAGTAAAGGGTAGTTGGGGCCTAGGTAGGGATTGAGATCCCTAACCATAAGCCTTTCGGGTTTAGGACAGAGTAACATTGTGCAAGAATTAGCAAGACGTGTACTACAAGCTGTAGTACATGAGGCCATCAGAGCCGATCAGGTGGTGTAATATAGAGCCCAGGAATAGCATTCCCTTATTTGGAGGTTCATGGGTAGTTATAAGTGGGGTGATAAGTCCCCGAATATGGGTTATAGCTATAGCTACCCCACTTGTAATTACCCATGAACCTCCAAGTATAGTACCTATATTGGCCAGCGCTGGCACGGGAGGGCCGACAGAACATGGAAACGTGCGAGGCCTATCCGCAGTCTTTCTGCAAGGTATAGCGCGGGATAGGATCGCCCACTGCGCTATGTACCGCTCAAACTATATGCCTGGAATCTGCAAAGAGCAGAGTCAGAAGTCAGAAGTGGATAGTGCGAGATTTGCGCAGGCCCGTGACGGGCGAGAAGGCATCGGCGCTGGTTGACTTGTGCCTCTGCGACACTGCGGAGACTGCGGAGGCGGCCGTGGAGGCGATGGCCGCACTTGGGCTAATACAGGGGCCTTAGAGTTGCCTATACTATCTTGGTGGTTCCTGATTAAAAGTGCAGTAGAATATATACCAAAACCCTATTCTAATTGTTAAGGCCCCTTAAGGCCCCTTTTCTACAATGTATC